TCCTTAAGGGGAGGTCCAGTTGTCTACAGATGGGCTTTGGCTCTCCATGCCACACTCCCCCTCATTCACAATGATGTGATTTTTTTTGTTCTTTGATGCCTGATAACTGATCCCTTCGGCACCTCGTGATCACACAGGCTGGTGTGTTCTCCCATATGGGCTTTGTTGCTTCTGAGCTAGATGCCCACTTGTTTACCTTCAAGCTTTTAAGACCGCAGACACTATATCTGTTGATAGCTGGGCACCATCAGCTTTCTTCACCATATTTGCTTATTCACCTGCTTTGTCTTTAGTGGTTGTGTCGGGAAGGTGAGCATCATGGAATGTCAGTTTAATAGAACAAAGTGTTCTTGCATTGAGGGAGTACTTGAGTGGAGGTCCAATTTCCATCAGCTACCTTAATACTAAACCTATAAATATATGTACATTGATCTATTTCCCGATCCTCACATATAAATATATTTACATATGTACATGCCTTTATTTAGACCTCTATAAATGCCCTTTGCCTCCTAGCTCTTTCCTCTATTTCTTTTACTTTCCTCATGTCCCACTATCATGCTCAGCCTTCATTCAGGTTTCAGTAATTCCTCTCAGTTACATCACCCCAAAGCTTAGCAGGCATCCTACACTCTCCTCACCATCAATTTTAGATCACTTGTTGTTCCTTTGTCTCTGGGTTTGTTAACACCCACTTCCTTCCCACCCCCACCCCCATCCCCCCTCCTTCTCTCCCATTTCCCACCCCTGAACTGTCTGTCCCTTTGTTTTCTCCTCTGGATTGTTTATCCTACCTATCTTATCTAGATAGACACACAGAGACAATAATACACATAAAAACAAGACAGAGCAAAATAAAGTAACAAACGGAAACAAAACAATGACAGAAAAGCCTGTAAATAGTTCAAGGTCTGTTTGTTTACCTTTTAGGAGTATTTTCCGGTCGAGTCCACACCCTGGCCTCAATGTCTATTTTTGGCATTCCCTAGGGAATTCATTGCTTTGCTCCCCTTGCTGTTCTGTTCCACGCCCTTAGTGTTTCCCCCAGTGTGGTGGAGTCAGATCGGGTGCAATTCCCACACTGTGTCTCCAGTGTTGTCCCCCGTAGTGCTATGGGTCAGTGAGGGATGTTGTGTCTCATGGTGGGGACTGCCCTGTGGTCCTCTTTGCATTGGCTGCTCTGAGCAGGAATATTGTCATAGAGGCTTGGTGGGCCAGGATGTGCTCCACTCTCTCTTCCTCTCCCTTCATTTGCTCCTGTGTGCTTCTGATCAGACATGCCCCTCTCCCTGAGCTGTAGCTTCAGTGCTGTCCTCTGAAGTGTATTCTTCTGCGGGCAGGGAGCACTGTTCACATAGTTGGGATTGGGGCCAGCCCCTCAGACTCCCTCTTGGCTTATGAGAACACTAAGTTATTTCCATCCCTACGTGAGTTCTTACAAGCCTTTTACATCTCCCTATTTCCTTTTTGCCTTAACTCATGGAGTTTCTGTCTTCGTGAGTACATCTTAATATTTAGCAAAGATTCAAGGAGGTTTTTGCATAGGTTTTTGGAGTTCTTTTTCTAAAGAACCCCCTCATTTGTCTCTCTGCTGTCAAAGATCATAATCCTGCACTGATTTTTGTCTCATGACTGAATAATCCCTTCTTAGAGTTTGTCCTATGTGCTTTTAGTTAAGAGAGAGTAGTACATACTGTCTTTTGTACTCCATCAAGACGCCTAACAAAGCTTTATTGAGTTAAGAATTAAGTTCTTCAGTGACCAAGGGTCTATGTGTGTCTACATTGGCATGAAAAGATATTTGGGATGAGGCTAAGCTTCCACCTGCATTAACACTACAAAAACTCAACATCAAACCTGCTGCCACCCAATCCATTCTGGCCCTAGCCACCAGGTCAGTGGATTCATGTGGATTTCTTGGCTTTGGTTGGGTGTGATGGCTATGTAGGCATATTCTTGTCTTTTGGAATGTGCACACAGAAACATGCAGAAGTAATGTGCCTCCTTGTTGGGCCTTACTCTCAGTTCATTCAGGAAAACAAAAGCTATGTGTGTTTGTGTGTAGAACGAAAGAAAAGGAATAATAAGGTAAATATAAAATGTTAACAATTGGGGAACCCGAGTGATGGTTCTGTAGTTCTTTTTTACTCTTCGTGTAACTTTTCTGTAAGTTTGAAATAATAAAATAAAAGTTAGTGTGTCAAGGCACTGAGTTCTACAAAGAACCATTGGGCCTACAGGCCTGGAGGGTGGTGGGATGCTCTATTCATAGAACGCAGTCAGAAAGGTCGTCTGGTGGATGATGTCTGCGTAGATGAAAGCCAAGCCATTCAGTTCTCTGAAGGCAGAGTGTTCCCAGCTGAGGAACAGCAAATGCACAAGACCCTGAAGCACGCTTCGTGAGGACCAGGAGGAAACGTTTCAGGGGGGAGCTTCCAGTAGCATAAGCACAGGGCAGGCCACAATAGGCCACTGAAGACTAGGGTAAAGCTGTGGGGTTGCCCAAGTGAAGTGGCCTCACCTTGGACATTTTAAAGCAGCCCCATGAACTGTTTTACATTTAGAAAGGATGAAACTGGGGTAGAAGTAGAAATTAACAGACTGTTTTATAAAAATAATGACAATGAAAACATGAATGAAAGATTTGAGGAAAAGTTCCGGATCATAAATAGCAAGTCAACCCCGTGTGTGGGTTTCCGAAGCTGTCACTATTTACAGGCGTCGGAAGTCTAGTCTTTCTCCCTCAGAGCCGCTGGTGGTTTCGAGCTGCCGACCATACCCATCGCAGCCCAACGCGTAACCACCAGGCCTCCTTGTGGTAAATGAGCATATGAAAAGATGTGCAGCATCACTGATCATTCCCCAAAGGATGCTACTTTGAGAATGACAAAACATTTGTAAACTGGAAATTCAGCTAGACCCTTCACATCCATCGAGGTAAGAAGACAAAAGCAGTTCAACCACTACAGAAAATAGTTTGGCAGTTCAACCACTACAGAAAATAGTTTGGCAGTCTCTTAGCAAGTTAAAAAGACATTTGCCATATGAGCTAGCAATTGCACTCCTAGGATTTCGATGTTTTAGTTGTTTGTTTGATTTTTGTTTTTGTTTGAGTCCCACTCCTAGGAATTAAAACCTGGGTCACACAGAGATCAGTATAAACTGTTTGCCACTCTATTCATAATTGCTAAAAACTGGAAAGAATGTTAATGTCTACTTCCTAGTGAATGAGTAAACAACAATGGTAAATCCGTACAACTGAATACTACTCGGTGATCAAAAGTGCACATGGCATAGGTACATCTCAGATATGTTACACTACATGAAAACACCCAACTCAGTTATTCTCAGCACACAGAGATTCCTTTTGGATTTAAATAGTTCGACTTCTTCCCCTCTTACGGCATTCTGCCTATTGCTTCCAATGTGAAAACAATCAAGTAATAGCATGCTGAAAACATGAGCCCTGCTTTCTTATAAGGAAAGGCCTAGGCTCTTGAGGAAAGGTCTTACAAGCAGGAGTCAGTATGTGAAATGTTGTGTCTGCTTCTTTAGGAGCATTCTGGAAGAGTTTTCCGACTCCAGTTTGATGAGTTCCAGATCGTCAGTAGTTCCCATGATGATACAATCCTTATCTGGGACTTCCTAAACGATCCAGCTGCCCAAGCGGAACCCCCTCGTTCCCCTTCTCGAACGTACACCTACATCTCCAGATAAATGATCATACACTGACCTCATACTTGCCCAGGTATGAAAAAGACATGGGTACACCGCACTGCAGGTGGGAGGTAGGCCATTGGCTGTGAGGTGCTGCTGGTTCAGGAAGCCCTTGCAGGCTCGTTGCCTCAGCAAATCCAGAGAAGGGAGAGGGCAGCATGAAGACACTGGGAATGCCACATTGGGCACTGCCTTTCATCAAGGGAGCAGCCATCCTCCATCCCTGATGACTCTGGGTTCCTCATGTCGAATGGAACAAGTAATACCAGCTTTAGCTAAGAAGAGTTGTTAGAAAAACAACGTGAGATGATCTCCTGGGGAACGATCATACCGAGAGTGTGCAGTCTGCCTTGTTGGTATCATTTAATTCTAAAAGCTAGCTTTTTTATTCTCCCACTCCCCACCCCATTCTAAAAGGGAAACCCTCATTTTTTTGCCCTTAGAAGTGAAAGCCTCTGGCAGTTGGTGAGAGCTCTGTGCCTCTCCTCCTCAGCTCTGCAGCCAGGCTGGACCATCTTCGTCTTGTCTTGCAGTCTACTCAGACTACCCCTGGGGCCAGGCCTCACCAGCTCAAGCACGTTATCACAAGTTGGAGAAAACCGCACCACTGGTAGGGACATGCCTCTCAGGCAGGTGGCTAAGTTCACATTCACTGCTCACTTATGCACTTGTTTTTGCAGTGCTCCTTCTGTGCCCAGCCAGGCTCACATTAGTGCATACCATGTGAGCAGAGAGAGGGAGGAAGTGACCTAGAGGACAGGCTGAGGGGAGAAGCCAAGCTGTGTGACATTGGGCAAGGAACTTCCCAAAGCCTTTGGTTCCTGATTAGTATAATGAGGGTCATAGTACTTAACTCAGAGTATTCAGATAACAGACTTCAAGTCCCTGGTACTCCGCACAGTGGCGTGCCCATAACCTGCCCTCAGTAAAAAGTGGTCATTATTATTAATGATATAATTGACATGCACCTGTCCCCTCTTCCATGGCCTCCTGAGGTATTTTTACCATTTTTTAATATTCTTCCTGGCTAGCTGTTATCTCCCTTCTACCCAAGAACATAGCTCCTAGTGGTCTGTGGTGGTTTATTTCCTCCTTCTGGGACTTCTTAGCCACTTTCAAGGATTCCAAATTTATGTCTCCAGTACTGCCCTCTCCTCAGGCTCCAAGCTGCATCTCCAGCCTCCATCTCCACAGCGGCCTGTGAGGCCCCAGGAGAGCTGATAATGCAGCACAGCCACAGTCAGACCTGCCCCAGTCCACATACGGGTGCCCTTAGCTAGCCAGGCCCACCTCACTGCCTCCCCCATGCCTGTGTATGTATGGTGCCACTGAGAGCCAGAGCCTCTGCCCCCCGCCTGCCCTCCATTGTTGGGAGCCCCCCCCTACCTCCTGTGCAAGCTTGCAGGCATGCCAGTCTTCCTCTCCAGACTGCAGGTCCACTCTGCTTGAACCCCAGGACCCTGAGTTCCTGGGGAGGCCAGCCTTCTGCAGGAGTCCCCAAACACAGGTAGCCTTTGGCAAAAACTCCCGTGTGGCATGGGCAGCACTCTGAGTCTTTCTCACAGGGGACAGCTACGTCCCTGCTCTCCTCTTCTTAGAGCCAGTAAATACAGGGGCTGATGGCTGTTTGCTCTGTTTCCACCCAGGACTCATGAAAGTTGCAGTATTTGATGTATCTGCCAGTGCCCAGATGAGCACCAACCTACAGACTCCGACTCAGTTTTCCCGGACGAGCTCGGAGCCTCCTGTTGGGACACAGTTGGTCTGCAGTCGGCCAGGACGTCTGCTCCACACAGCTGACTGCATCCGGGCTGCTGTCAGAAGTTGTCTTCATCTTTCGTGAATGAGTGGACCTTATCAACCTCGCCTTCCGCCCCTCCTCTCCCCGCTGCACCTGTTTTGTTTTTCTTTTTGTTTTTTTCCCCTTCATTTGGTTCCAGACAAAGATGACCTATAAATATATTTAGTGTTTTGCCAGAATCTCTCTTGCTTTGCTAGTAAGCAGAAGACTAGTTTCCTCATATAGCCTACTAGGAGAGGCCCACTTCTCCAGGAAGGAGACAGAAGTGGGGAGAAAGAAACGGGGACACAGCTTCGAGCCAGCCAGTCCCCAGTGTCTCCTTGTCAACTACAGGAGTGTTCAGCACCTGGCAAGATCAGCCCAACCCTGTCCAGCCTAGCCTCACCACACTTAGAAGACAGAGCTCGCTCTGTCTTGGCTTCGGGGCAAGAGAGAAAGCGAGAAAAACAGAATGGGCACACTGAAGACCTGGGCTGCTTTCCTTCTTTCTCTGTATCCTTCTCTGCTCCTCTTCTCCCTCCCTGCCTCCCTCCTTCCTCCATCCTGCTGCTCTGCTCCACTCAGAGTATGTGACGAGAATGTCCCAGGTTAGCATGAGACGGACCAGCTAGAACATGCAACACCTGGAAGAGTTCAACGCTGTTGTCTCAAGATTTCAAGTCCGGCCACAATGGATCCTTGGACACGGTATTCTCATCTTCGTAACTCTTTTCTCTTGTAAACCAGCACCACCATCGCCACCCCCACCCCCACTCCCCTCCCTGTTTGGAGGGGGTTAGAAATGTGCTGGGCTCCATCGGTGGCAGTGTCTTTTCTGGACTCAGCAGTCTACTGGATTCCATGTAGAGTGGGGAAAGGAGCTGCTGATTGCATTTCCTCTCATTAACAATTAGATGTGTAATAAAAAGCATTGTACGTCATCTTAAATCATGGGTGAGGCTCAGCCTACAGAGAGGTTTGAGCTGGCCAGGCGCTCCCTCGGTGCATTTTGCATAATGGGCCTGACTCGGAGTTCCTCATCAGGGCCTGTGAGCAGCCAAGCGCCAGCATCTTCTTCAGACCCCGCTTTAGAGATGGTCACGGGTGAAAGCTGGTGGTTTTCACTTAGGTGAGAAAATAGCATCTCTCAAAAATCCATCTAGCCATCGCCACCTTGCTCTGCAGAGCCTTCCTTCCGCTTGTTCCCAGACCTGTCTTTACAAAAGCGCGAAGGTGCCAGAGAGAGGATCAGGGCGAGGCTTGGTATACAGGGTTTATCAAGGGGGCAGAAACTGCCTTCTCTTTCCTTCTCTCCCTCTTCCTGGCCTTATTTTTGGTCCCTACCCCCCACTGATAACACTTTCTCTGCACTTGGTGGACATCATCAACGAGTGGAACTCGGCCCTGGCCAAGGAGGCATGGCCATTTAGAAGGCAGCAGGCTTCATGTGCAGGGCACATTTGCCCTCTTTCTCACCCACACTCTACCCCACCCCCCAACCTGTATGCCCAGGGTGGTCTCTCGGCAGGGGAAGCAGCTTGTTTCCCAGGGCATGGAGGGGCCCCTCCAAGAGCCATCTTCTGTGGCCTGGGCCCGCCCATCTGAGGCCCCCAGGCCACAGCACAGTCCCATGTAGCCCTTGGAAGGGGTAGCCAAGCCCACTGCTTCCATTCCTAATTGAAGCAGTTGAGTAAATGGAACCCCTGTTTAATCAGCTGCTATGAAAACCACAGAATGGGAGCCACTTGCAGGCGGCCACAAAGTCAGGTCACCTTAATTAGGCAGAGGGGAGGGGAGGGGAGGGGAAAGGTCTGGTCACTGCCAGCTGATGTGCACAAAGGTTTTCTCTTTGTACCCAGACTCAAATGTGACTACAGAGAGAGCAGATGTGATATGTGTGTGTTTTTCCTTTACTGCTGTCTGAGTATTTTGCAGCTTTTTGTTCCAGGTTATATTCATCAAATATTTCCCCAAGTAATGACACATGTTTGCCTGGGAAATGCATTCTAAATAGAACTGCCCAAATGCTCCAGCCACTATCAGGGTTCCTTATCTACCCAGTTGACTACTAATAGCTCTTTTAATTCATTAAAGATGTTTGTACCGATGGTGGCAAGGGGCTGTCAGCCCTGAGAAGCGCTGAGATCTAACATGACAGAGGCATGGATTTATAGCTGTTTCAAAATTTTGTCCAATAGCCATAACTCTACTGGCCCTTCAGTGACGCATGCTGCTGTTTCCCCGTGGGGGCCATTGGGTTTTCACTGGCACCCGGGGGGTGGCTCTCTCATCTCGCTCCAGCCGAAGGTGTGCTCTGTCTCAGACTGTTGGGAAGCTTGGCCAGCACCTTGAAACTGAGTTGGAGGGTGGCCCTGGCAGATCCAGAGCCACCAGCTCAGTTGAGGACATTCTACAAGTCGTCCTCTCTGCTGCTCATGGAGCTGGGGATGAAGTTAAGTGGTCTGAAAAACTTGAACTGTTCGCGCATCTCAGCTCGGAGGGTCATTTACCAGTTCATTGTAGAAGAAATAATCAGGTAAGTAGAAAAGTTCATTTCCAGAGAAAGAAAACCCCACTTACCAGCTCTGCATGATTTCAGTGGGAATTGATTATCACTAATCCCCAACTGGGCTAGAATAAATGTAAAGTTTGACCTTTTAAAAAAGAAAAGAGGAACAAAGAAAGTCCCGACTCATCTAAAGGAGTGGCAGGGAGCCAATGTGTCCTTGGCTCCACGATGAGCAGTTGCCATCGTAGGTTCATCGTGCTCACTGAAGTCTGCTGTCCTGTGTAGGGCCAAGAACCCCTCCTCCCCCAGGCAGGTGACATGCATGCACCTGTCCCCCTCACGGCCATACTGAAGCTGCTCAGACAAAACTAGCCCAGCAGGCTTTGCTGCATGTGCTGCTCTGCACTACTAAGAACATCCTCCTGCTTCCTGAGATGCAATTGGAAAGTGGATGGGAATGGTGAATAGGGAGCCATCTTCATTTGTTCCTTGGCAAAATTCCTTCTGGTGACTCCTAACATCAGAGTGGGGCACTCAAGGCTGGATATTGTAACTGTGAACCTGTTTTTGAACTGGAAAGGCGCCAAGACTGGAAGTCATTCCAGGGTTTTGCTGGGTTTTGTTTTGCTCTGCCTGAGGAAGAAAAGCCCTCTTCATTGTCTTCTGCACAATCAAAAGCTAAAGAGGAGAAGTGCCGTGCTCGCTTCCTGCTGACTCCGGGTGCCTAGTGTCTGCACTACTGTGCTTGGGGTGCTCCTGTGTTTAGCATGTGACTGTGCACAGGACAAAGGGCTCAGGAGGAGGGCAGGTCAGGACTACTGGAAATGATGACATTTCCCTTTACTAGAATTAGATGAGGCACGTTGGAATTTTGGCCTTCTTTAGCATCTTCATTTGCCTTAGATGGTAACACGTTCCTTGCCCCCACTGGGAGCCATTCAAACCTGAGTAGTGAGGGCCCGCAGAGATAGGCTGAGACTGCAGGCTTGGTTTGAAAGGAGTCCAAGGTGCTTCGAGGTGAACAGTGGCACCCCTGTGACCACCATCTTCTCTGGTCGTCAGGTTGACTCCTCCCTCTCCTTATCCATCGTTTGAGTTCAGCAGACTGTGCGGAAGGTGCCCTTGCTTCTCCTCGCCTTCCTCTTTCCCCACTAGAGTAATGCTCACCCCAACAAGCCCACCCCGAGATCCTGGCAGGGGTCGCCCTGGGCTCCTCCCACACCACTGGTCACTGTTTCCAGGGCCCCTTGGTTTGCCCACAGCACAGTCTCGCCGTAATCAGTGCTGGAGAGAGAGCCAGCGTTTAGAGGAGATCAAACTTATCTTTACCTGCAGTGGGTTGTGACTTGAAAACCCTTGAAGTTGAGGAAAGAAACAAACAAACAAAAAAAAGTGACTGTGGCTACCTGATTCAAGGTGAAACTTAATACAGTGATTGCTAGAAACCCCTTCTGTTGGAAGTTGAGCGCCTATACCGTAAAAAGTGCTGGAGGCAGGTGACACCCGAAATACACACTTTCCAACCAACCCAATGGGCTGTCTTAGCTCTTGAATGTGTGTGTGTGTGTGTGTGTGTGTACGTGTGTGTGGAGGATCAGTCCAGTAAATGGCATTATAAAACATTAACTCCCTTTCTACCCTTTCCTTTTGGGGGCGTTGGAGAAAAAGACCTGCTACAGGGATTAGACCCCTGGGTACTGGAAACTGACACCTTTCCGAGTCAGTGCTGGCTCAAGCCCCAGCCCAACTGCTGCGGGAGTTGTTCGCTTGAGTCTGGCCAGGGGACGGGCCAGCAGCAAAGGGGAGCTTCCCAGAGGGTTTCTGGTGTGTTCAGTTCTTTGTTATCTAGACCCTTAAGTACTGACTGCTTTGACTTTTGTGATTCTGTTATGTGATGTGTAGTCAATGTACCCATGTGTTCACAGCCTAGAATCATGGTAATATAGTAGTTTTGTTTTTTTATTATTAACTGTTCAGTAAAATGAAGAGTAACTTAAATTATAAATAGAAGATTAAACTGAATTCTCTAAGTGTCTTGCCTCGTTGCCCGACTTCACAGGGAGAACGGGTGTTGTAGGCACCTACACGGATGGAGTGTGCAACAGCAATCCGCCAGAGGAAGGGCAGGCGGGTGGTGTGCTCTGGGTAAGGAGACAGCCTCGGAAGTCTGGTCCTGCAGGGCAGGGCCGCTGTGCAGCAGGAGCACACACAGATCTGATGCTTTCCGGGTACATTGACATGGCGATGCCACTGTGAAAGAAGGCCAGGCAGGATGGTCTGAAGACCAGCAGGGTCCCTAGCACCTGACCTGTTTATAAACAGGTGCACTCACATTTGGGGGTCATGTCCAGAGACTCCACCATCGGACCTGCTCCTCAGTGCATCTCCCCACCCCATCCTTAGTCCAAACCCACCAAGCTGAGGGACAAGGCATAGGCAGTGAGCGTAACGCCATCTTCCCTTCTGTCCCCTCCCAGTGTGTCAGTTAACCCATCCTCAGACTGGTCAGACTCTTCACTGAAGGGAGACCCCAGGGCATCAGACTGCCCAATACTGAACTGTGGATCCAGAACCAGAAGGAAGACTGTCTGAGCATAGTGTGCCCTCAGTATTTTCCCAAAGGAAACAGAAGCAAGAGCAGGGGCCCACATTGCCCAAGACCACACTGAAGTACATTCCTTTACAACAAAGATGGGCCACACCCGAGGGAGAGGGGACTGGGACAGCCACCTGCCAGGCTCCCCAGCCAGAACTGAGCAGAGACCAGACCGAGAGTCTAGGGATTTGGGAATCCCCTCATCCAGTACGGAGCCCTTTGCCCAGCAAGGGTGATGCCCAAGGACACGCTCACCCTGAAGTCAACTTCCTACTCCCAGGCTGGGCCTGGGATCCTGATCCCATTAAACCTATAGCTGTGCCACCATCAGCAATGACTAAGGGGAGGAGACCCCTCTTCTTCCTGATTGGCTCTTGCCAATTAAGAGCGTTTTATTAGGATGCTAATTAAAGGCACTTCGTTAGCAGCAGGAGAGGCCGGGTGGGTGCCTGGTGAGATGGAGCTGAAGCCAGGAGAAATTGTTTTCCTCCCCCCTCTGAAGCAGAGCCTCTCAGGGAACCCTCCCCCTCCCCCAGCTTCTCCCGCTGCGCCTACCACACCCCTTGTTTTCAATTAGCAGCTCTGAGGGGAGTTAGGTCATTACCAAGCCCAGGTCTAGAGCCCTCCCCAGCCCCCAGCCTCTGGTGGCATGAGCACAACCCCTAGGAGCTGCCCAGATCTCTGCACCTCTTTTGGGGTCTGGGCCCTGGAGGGGAAGGGCTGTGATGGGCAGAAGAGGTTCTGTCCCCCCTTGGGGAGTGGCCGGTTTCCCTCCAAGCATCTGATATAAATGTCCCCACCACCTAAGCCATCTCTGACAGTCACCTGGCAAATCTGATGACAGCCACTTTGGTCACATGATCCGAAGCACCATGCCCCTTCCTCAACAAAGATTCAAGATGCTGCCTAGTGAATGAAACTTCCTACCACTCACAGACTGCCCCCAATCCCTGTGGGAAGGACTCCTCAAGAACTCGGGGTGCTTCCAGGTGGAGGTGGGTGGAGGGTTGGCTTCCTGAGGCCAACCTGGGGAACTGCAGAGAGACTCAAACCCTTGGAGCACCCTACCACCCCTGGGGGAGCGGGGAGGGGTGAGCCCCAGGCGAGTCCCCTTCCCCAGCCAGAGAGGAGAGCTGGGTCACCCTCCCAGCTGCCCTCCTCGCCCCTTACTTAACTGCAGAGTTAGCACCAGCCCAGCCTGGGAGGGCAGATGGATGGCTGGGCCTGCCTCTCTCCATTTAACCCGAGGCCGGCCCAGGCTCCAGACACTAAATTAGATTTTTGACAATTAGAGAGACTAATGGGCACACAGCCATCCCCAGAGCCAGATATCCAGCAAGGCCGCCCTTTAATGTCCACCACTGGCCGGCCGCCCCCTCCCCCAACGCCCTCCTCACGCTCCCCCATGGGTGCCCTCCACCTTGGCGGCTCATGCATTCCTGCACTTTTTCAGGTCTCACCTTCCTCCCTCTATGCCCTCCTAGCCCCCAGCCCAGTGCCAAGCAGCCTCTGAGACTGCCCCTCAGCGCTGGCCAGGTTGGTCCTCAGCCCTCTGGTCCTCAGTCCTCTATCACCGCCTTCCCAGCCACCCAGCCACCCATCATCTTGCCAGCTGCTCCAGCAGGCTGCAAGCCTCTTGAGGGCAGGGCGTGTGCCCTCTTTGTGGATCCTGACCACCCAGCGGGGCCTTCGTGGTGTGTGGTCTCCCTGCTTCCCATCCCTCTGGACTGCTGGGTCCCTCACGTCCTCCCACTCTGCCCCACTGGCTTACGCCCTCCAGTCCAGCGCTGTGCTGCTATGGATGGGCCCGGTCCCCTTCCCTGCAGTCCCTGCTTGGGCTGGTCCTGGGCTGGGTGGTAATGAGATTGCAGTGAGGGGGGTGGGGAGGAGCCGCTCACATTCACTCAGGCAGACTCATAGCTCTGTCAGGCTGATTGGTCCTGAGTGGAGGCACAAATGGCCCCCCACGGACACGCTGAGATTGGTTATAAAATTACAAGCATTTGTTCTGCTGTCAGTGTCTGCCCCTCTCCCCCTCGGCCTGCCTGCCCAGGCTCCTTGTGGTCCCCCACCCAGCTCTCTCCTGGGGTCAAGCCACACACCCCACCCAGAAGGACAGGGGCCACTAGAGCAGGTGGGGCCAAGAGACTGAGGCCACTGAGCACAAGGGCCTTGGTGCACCCGCCCCCTCCCCTAGGGTGGCAGCGCTCAGGCTGGCCTCGGAGCAACCCTGGCTCTGAGCTCAGGGCTCCCTCTTCCCAGTGTCTGGGGGGCACACAGGCTGAGGCATACAAGTGCCAGATTCCCAGGGAATCTTGGGGAAAGGTACCTGGTGTCGTAGGCCTCCTTGGGGACAACCATGCCTTTGCTGTGTGTGGCGCCTGCTAAAGGGGGTACAGAATCCTGACTAATCACCCCCTCCCTGTGTCCAGTCCCTGTCCTGCACTCTAACCCCAAGAAGGACAAGTAAGTGCCTCTTGGCCCCTGAAGCCTGGGCCAGACCCACAAGCCACTATGGCCTCTCTCAGTGCTTTAGGGGATCGAACCGCCACAGCCTGGCCCAGGACCCACCCTGCAGAGCAGTGGCCTTCTCCCAGGCACTGCTGCCTGACCTGACTTCGCAGTCTGAGACCAACCCCTCCATCCCTTTGCCCCAGTGCTCAGCCTTCCTCCTCCACATCATCACAAGGCCCAGCCCCCGCTCCAGCCTCAGCCATTGACTTCCTCTCTGGAGGTACTAGGGCACCGGTAAGCAGCTGGGGGCCGTTGGTGTTGGAGAGGAGGGTTTCCTAGCTTAGAGAGGGGGCCTTTAGGGACCAGTATGTCCTGGCTGCTGGTGACAAGGTCCCTTCCTGCCATTCGTCATTCATTCTCAGCCCAGGAAATATTTGCTGTAATTACATCTTTAATTAGGTGGTGACGGCTCATTGTTCACCAACAATGATGGATGGATCCTCCTGTGGTCTCTCCTCCCTCTGTCCAGCACCTCTGGGTCAGTGCCCCTGGCACTGGACCTGCTCTTTTCCCCAACCACCCCTACCTGTAAGCCCAAAGCAGCATCCGCTCTACCCCCAGGATGAGTATGCCCTGCTAGACCCCAGGGAGCCCCCAAAGGGCTGGTTACACCCCATGTACCTCTCCAAAAGGCTGTAAACCTCTTGGTAGCTACCAGAGGTCTACTTGGTCCAAACTGGCCAGCCTAGAAATAGTGCCACATTGCCCCCTCCCCGCCCCATCCTCCCCATACGCCCCCGCCCTGCCCCCCCCCATAGGTCAGCAGTCCCACCCCAGGACCAGTCCAGGCCTGCCTCTGGGATCCATACCCCTCAGCCACAGGAACCTCACAACTTTGGGGTTCAAGTGTGGGTGGCCCCATCTCAATAAGTTCTGTCCAAGATGGGGTGTCCATCCCCACACACCTGCATTCACCCTCACCCTCTGCTTGTGGTGGTGGGTGGGACGTGGGGACAGACAAAATCAGCTCCTGGGTGGCAGGCTCCTCAGTGGAATCAAGGGGTCAGCAGATCAGTGAAGACCCAAGAGCGTAAGGAGGATGGGGGCCAAGAGGAGGTCGGACACAAACCCAAATCTGGTTTGAAATCCCAGGATGGCAATTACTAGCTGCAGGATGCAGCAATGAAATGGGGCTACTCAGGACCCTGCCTCAGAGGAGTCGCTGAAACACTGTGAGCCAAGTGCCCAGGTGCAGCGGACAGAGGCTGTGGGTGAGGACGGGGCAGCTATGGGGCCTCAGCTTGACTGGGCTCTCGGCACTGCCGCCCCACAGTGATGAGCACCACAGGGCTGGGACAAGGTGGAGTAGGGTCAGTGTTGCCCAGGGTAGGCCTGCTGCTCCCTTGGGCTGCCTTCCTGGTAGAGGCTGTAGGTCCTCTTCCCCAGCAGGGGCTACAGGGGGAAGAGCCTTAGAGGCCCCACAGGGAAGTTGGGCACAGACCTTGTCTGAGAGCAGGGTTGGGCTTTAGGTAGGGCCGGAGGTGGGTGAGGAGGCAGCTGAGGAAGGCCTCCTGCCCTTGCTACCCTCCAGCTGTAAAATTTGGTGACTCCGGTCCCTCTGTGGACTGTCATTTCCCACAGAGCCCCCTAGATCCCAGGGACCCCCTCCCCAGGGTGACTGGGAGGCCTTGGGCTGGCAGGATGAGCCGTACCTAGCGGTAAGTATGCGCAACATTACATATGTATATTGGAGAGTAAATAACCCCAAAAAGCGCCTTGTAAATAGACTCCGAGTTTATCCTTTATTAATGAGGCACCGAGTGCCCCGCTGTTTTAGAGCAGCGAGACTTTTATAATATCAAAACCTAAATTACGCTTGAGTCTCTCATCCCAGGGACAAGCATCTTTCGGCTCTGTGTGCAGAGTGAGTAAGCCAGGATCCCTCCCCCTGCTTGGCATTTGTTGGCACTTCTCCTGGTT